AGATGAACACGCCACACCAATCAGGAGCCCCGTTCGTGGGCGAACGGGTTTTTCAAAATGAGGGGTCCGCAATCAAGCGTTTCCTCTCTCGTCCCACCACCCCCTGCTTCGTCATGTTTTTGCTCTCGCTCCAATTTACGCGCGGCCAGAGTGCGGAAAAGCTCAAAAGCTGCCTACTAATCGAGCGCAACGCTGTAATAATGTGGACAGTCACGTATGCTCCCTAGAATTAGAAAGCTTGCGGGACCTAAAGATCGGAAAAGAGCAGTAGAAACGCCTGGATCAAAACTGAGAAAATATTGATCAGCAATGGAACATTCTAAATGGCTATAATTTTCATTGTCGGCCCTCTCCTTGCGTGAATAACTACAGACAGTCACGGATAGTTGCTATGCCTGTAACACCGTGCTCAGTTCGACGTCTATGTTTGGGGCTCCCGAAGTCGCTGCAAATGGCCAATACTTCGTTAATGAAACGTCGAGCCATAACGACATGGTGAGTCCATTATTCACGAATTATCAACCATGAGCTCACTTGTCGTCTTGCTCGATTGAACGACTTCCACGATATACTGACACTGTCAGAAGGAATCTACAATGGGCACGACTATGTACCTGTCAGATTCCACACATGGATGAAAATGGAAAATTCAGCTGTAATGCTTTCTTATGCAGACAAGAAACCTGCAGGACTACTTGTGTGTTCTGTTGTTGACGAAGGAAGGTCATTTGTCAGTCGTGCAGCCCGCGTTTTACCGGAGTTTCGCGGACAAGGCGTCCATAAAATGCAAGGGAAAGCGATGGACGAGTTTGTGAGGAGAACATTCCCAAACGTTAGGCGGAAACGATTAACAAAGCAAGACGATAATTTTCCCCTTGGTAGGAAGCTTGTACAGCTAGACACATTGGGTTGTTACGTTGAAAAGGCGACCCTGCTAACACATCAGATTCCGGCTGTTGAAAGTTCAGTGGAAGTCATTTCGTGCCCAAAAGAGTATCTTTACAATGCAATATTTGCTCGCTGCACAGCGCAGAAGTTGTTTCCAGACAACGTTATCATCCTAGACTGTCTTCCTGTGGAGCCTCTTGGATCAAATATGGATTATTTAATGCTAGAGCACGATGTGTATTTCACTGTAGAAAAGTGTACCGATGTTACCCAGTCTCCTAAATCAGTCAGCTTTGGCGTCTTGTCGCCGAGAGTATCAAAACTTGTACACTGGTGCGCTACAGTTTACAGTTGTGAAAAAGTTCTGTACGAGGCTCATCTTGTGCACCAATTCAAGAAGGCTTGCGAAGTTATCAAAGATACTTTTATTTTTTCCTGTTATCAAGACAAAACGTATACAAACTGTGGGAGAAGAGTGTTTAAAGAACAGTTGCAGATGACATTAGATGAGGAGAGATGCAAGAAAACGTTGAATCTCTACGAAATAGACTTTCCGTAGTCAATTTCTGTTTACACGGTTTGGTCACGCTTGACCCGTTACAAGAGCAAAAGTAGCCTCAGGCTACGCAGACACTTTGGGCTCGTCACGCAATCTTTGAGGATGAGCCCAAATTAAAGAGTGTCCGCATAGGAGGCTAGAGCAAAAGGACCGGATCGATGATTGAAGGATCGGTGGGTATGCTACCAACTTTAAGAACCATCTGTCTCAAAACCTTGTTGCACTTTATTCACTCTAGTATGTCCTTTTGCTTAATTCATAATAAATTGGAAGTAGAAGTTTATAATACTTTGCAACTTTCTTTATTCAAATTATACTTGCTCTAGCTCCATTGCATGTCACGTTGACCACTTTCTCCAGTGCAATGGTAAGGAAATGATTAGACCAGCAATAGGGCATTGTGATTGGCTGATCTTAGTTATTGTCATTCTTGGCTTCTAAGTCTGGTTGAGAAATTACTCTAAACTCTGTGATGCTTTAGACTTAAAAAATCTCTGGTATGACAATAAAAACTTAAAACAGTATAACTCAAATAGAACAAGTCCTCTCATTAGTCAATTCGCCTCTCATGGTATATTTCGTGTCGTGTCCAGCCTCCTCTGGTATAACTAGAATTTAAGTGTCAATCAATCAATCAATCAATCAATCAATCAATCAATCAATCAGTCAATCAAACAAACTTTATTTAAAGAAGATGACACTTAATAATCGTACAACTAATGAACTGGTAGCTTCTTAACCCTTTAAAACCGAAAGTTTCACAAAAAAAGGCCTTTCTTAACCGTGAAAGTCGGTTTTTGGCTGCCATGACGCTCAATAAGCCTTAGTTTTGCTTAAAACAAGCTATTTTTTGACCAAAAAGATAGATTTCCCCAAGATTAGGTACAAAAATGTACAATATTTCACTTTGGAGCATCTGCATAAGCCAAAATTTGGATTTTGTTCCGATTTTTTTTCTTGGCCCTTTCCTTTCCTTTTTTCTCGGCCTTTTTACTCTCGCTACCTTTTACGTTTCATATTCTTTCTGGCTGCCGTAAAACGTTGGGTGTTACTTATGGGAAAAGCCTGAAAATGGGACCTTGGTCAATTATAGGTGTGATGGGCCATTTTACCACCATTTTTGCAGCAAAACTGATAACGCTTTTCAGTTTGCTACGTCAGAATGCCGTCGATATCCAAAACCGACTGTCGTTCGGATAGATCTATCCTAGCTCTATCATCTGCTTTATACCAAGAACATCTGGTGATATTTAAACTGATGACGTCACAAGTGGTACAAAGAGCACGACCATCAAGTACGCGTATATGCGTGACCAGGATGAAAAGGGTTTTAAAAAATAGCTAAGTATAAGAGCATTTACATTTAAACATTTCCAAAAAATCTAATTAAAAATTTACTTATAACCTCATCAGAGCGACAAAATGACCGAAATGTCTCATCGTGTGCACTGCTCTTACAAATTGTCCTCGCGGTAAGAAAGATTTGAACCAATATCTGGTTCGTGTGCACCATAATTGTTCGTGTGCACAATAATTTTTATTGTATATATACATATTGTAATTATTTATTACGTGCTTTTATTATGTTATTTTAAACTCCTAGTATAGTTCCACTGTTTAAGGAGTATACTTATTAAAGATAAAGATTAAAGACCAGCTTGCGTGATGTCCCTGCGACATGCGTCCTGTGTTTGCCCGAAGGCCAAGGGGCTTGTTCCCCGCAAAATTTCCTCTACTTCCAGTGTGCTACAGCGTCCCTCTTACTTTGTTTTCTTTCCCTCTTACCCTGCCAAATCAATCCAACGCAAAAGTAGCAAAAAGTTTCCTATTCACAGCAAATACCAATATTCTCACTTTAGCAAACGGCTATTCAAAAGACAGGCAGCAAAAGTTTTGTCGTTTG